AACAATTAATCATTAATCATTAAACACGCTTGCTTTTAAACCGTGTGTAATATTTACAAAGGTACACTCACCAGAGGTCCCTTGTGTGCCCTCAGGGTCTGGGAGCACACCTTGGGTGAGTTCGGGGGTTACTGGTTCCTGGTCCAGGGTGATAAACATATCCTGGCTGTTGGGGAAACCGGTTTCTCCACTTCCTTGCTGTGAGCTATCTTCATTGTCTTCATCATCATCATCATCTTTCGCGTACCCCGAACCCGCTTCCCTGTTGCGTGTTTCTCTATTGACGGAGTCAAAGCACACGGTTGGGGTAGTGGTGGCTGCACCCCCTAGAATGGCATGCAGCTCCGCGTAGAAGCGGCATGTTTGCAGCTCTGCCCCAGACCTTCCGTTTGCCTCTCTGGCTTTGTGGTAGGCTTGCCTTAGCTCCTTAATTTTCACGCAGCACTGCTGTGTGTCCCTGTTATGGCCTCTGTCCTTCATGGCCTTTGAGACCTTTTCTGATATTTTGCCATTTCGTTTACTGCTACGGAGTTCAGCTAGCACTGATTTGTCTCCCTATATGGGGAGCAGATCCCGTACCTCCCGTTCTGTCCATGCTGGAGCTCTTTTGCGATCCTGGGACTCCATCATGGTTACCTGTGCTGATGAGCTCTGCGTGGTCACCTGTGCTCTCCACGCTGGGCAAACAGGAAATGAAATTCAGAAGTTCGCAGGGCTTTTCCTGTCTACCTGCTCAGTGCATCTGAGTTGAGAGTGCTGTCCAGAACGGTCACAATGAAGCACTGTGGGATAGCTCCCGGAGGCCAATAACGTCAAATTCCGTCCACACTACCCCAAATCCGACCCGCAAAGGCCGATTTTAGCGCTAATCCACTCGTCGGAGGTGGAGTAAAGAAACCGGTTTAAAGGGCCATTTAAGTCGAAAGAAAGGGCTTCGTCGTGTGGACGTGTCCAGGCTTAATTCGATTTAACGCTGCTAAAGTTGACCTAAACTCATAGTGTAGACCAGGCCAATGTCTATACTTGTTTCTGTGAGGTGCCTAGCACAGTTTTGGGCACTCAGAAATGATAACACATAACACAGTATCTCAACATCTTTCTCCTTCCCCCATTCTGCATGGGGTATTTAATGGAAAGTCTGTGAAGAGATTAGAGAACTTGGGTCATACGCTGTCTATAGCCTGAGTTTGCAGATAGCTGTGTTCTGAATCTGTTGTTGTTTTTCAAAGTTGATAGTTTTATTCTAAGGTATGGTATGTTATCATAACCAATCTAGAAATCATAAATGTTTCTGTCACTGTGGCACAGTGTGAATTTGATCTCATAATTCCAAACAGTCTCTCATATTTCTTCAGACGCTAAAAGCCCCAATTCCCTCTACCCACTTGCCAAAACATCCATATTTTCTCTGATAACTTCTATTAATTGTGTTGCCAAGTACAAAATCCCCAGCACACTGAAAGCTGGGGAATGTGGAGACAGCATAAGATAAATTGACATTCTTCGGCTATCTCTCGATGCAAGGATGATGTATGCCAAGGAAGGTTTTTAAGTGGCTGAGGAGCCCAATTTGTGCCCTGCAGATTTTCCTACAGAAGTGACAGGTGTTATCTTGGAGGAGACATAGTTGTTGGCTGGACTGTTGTGCCCTTTCTTTCCTCCTTTGTTGCTTCTCTGTCTCATGAGCATGTCTGTTCTCCTCAAAGTGAGCTGTGGCTTAGTGTATGGTGTAAATTGACTTCAGTATCAAAATAAATAGTGGTTTGAGCATTGTCCTGCTAAACCAAGGGTTGTGAGTTCAATCCTTCAGGGGGCCACTTAGGGATCTGGGGCAAAATCAGTACTTGGTCCTGCTAGTGAAGGCAAGGGGTTGGACTCAATGACCTTTCAAGGTCCCTTCCAGTTCTAGGAGATAGGATATCTCCATTATATAAAAATAAACCCAGAGCAGAGTCACTCTTCTCAGAAATTTAAGTGGATTTGCATACAAATCTGTCATGACTTGATGAGTTTCTGAAGGTCTTAGAACATATTCAGTAAAATGTAAAGCAGCCCATGTAGGACAACTTAAAAATGTTTCTTTTATAGTTGTGTGGTTGTTTTTCTGGCATTTTATTTGTATTTTTATCCAGCATTACTGTCATGTTTTGGTAGCGAGGTCTAATACTCAATTTGGGAGAACAATTCTGCTCTCTTCAGCTAATTACTCCTCAGACCCACTTTCTTTTAGACCAGGTAGTGGGGTATCTAAGAGGCTACTTTTGTCAGTGACTTTGAATCTGTTTAAGGAAATGAGACCACAGCGTCTCATAAAACCTTACAACAAATACTTGGTTTCACAAGGATATATGTGCACAACTTCAACTGTCTGGAGGTTTCTGAATTTAGTATGGAGAATGCTTGTGTTCTGATGGAATCATGGTACCATGGCCTCCCCCTTGCCACACTACCCTCAGGGTTCCACTTAAAAATTGTACTACATCTTCAGGGTATCTCTGTGGGGCTGACAGTTTCTGTTCTGACAGTTTCTGTTCTGCAGTATTTCTGCGTAGTTTGGGGGTTAAGGCTGGTATCAGAATTCTTTATGTAACTTAAACTTGTGATGTCAATAGTTTGTTTTGTTTTGTTTTGTTTTTTTAATAAGTGCATGTTCAGGGTACATCTTTAGACACAAAAAATCCTGCATCTTGGCAGGGGGTTAGACTAGATGATCCTCGCGGTCTCTTCTAACCCTAAGATTCTATGATTCTTTGATCTTCTCTTGAATTGTTTTTAACTTTAACTATTGTTTGGCAAGGTGCTTTGTTTAAGTCAACACTACACTATTAAGTGAATAAGGCTCTATCTACACACTTCAACCAAATTTATAATCTCTGTGTGTCATCGTCAGCTGGAAACATGATTTATGTTCACACACTACATGGTTCCCCTTCACCAAAGGAGGTTGTGTTAATCCTTCAGTGTGCATGTTCAGACAGTCTTCATCAGCAGAGTCAAGGAAAGGGTAGGGACGGTTTTGTGGCCTGCAGCATGCAGGGGGTCAGACCAGATGATCATAATGGTCCCTTCTGACCTTAAAGTCTATGAGTCTATGAGTCTTACAATGGAGTTTGAAAAATATATAATTTAGTGTGGATTTTGCTACTTTTTAGATTGAACAGAGTGGTGAGATCCCTCCTTCCTGCTGTAATTTTCCTGTGGCTGTTTGCAAAGACAAGATGTTTGTGTTTTCTGGCCAGAGTGGAGCAAAGATCACCAATAATCTCTTTCAGTTTGAATTCAAGGAAAAAATGTAAGTTCCAACATTTGATTCAAGTAAAATATATGTAATAATTCTGCTGTTCAGGGTGAAGAAAGTACACAATGAAAGATATTGAAGAAGGAACAGTTTGTATTTCATAACTAAGAAAGGCAGTTCTTTCTAATTTCTAATTTCTTTGATTTTTAGTTGGGGACTAATTAGGCTGATATTTGGATAATATGTCAGCAATAGTACAATAGCTTGACAATATGTTTTGGCTAGATAGAGACAATTTTTTTCTACAGGAGAACAGAAACTCATATTGATTCATTTGAAATAATAGCCAGTGGGCACAATTTTCAGATCTGGGTGTGTAATAATAGGTTCCTCAATCCATACCTAGGTGTCTAATTAGAAAGGGTCTGATTTTCAGAGGTGCTGAGCAGCCTCAATTCCCACTGAAGTCAGTGGGAGTTGTAGATGCTCAGCATCTTTGAAAATCAGATAATTTAAGTGTCTATATAAGGATTTAGGAATGTAACTTCAAGCTACCAATTTAGAAAATCTTGACTAGTGCCTTTTCAGATGTTCTGTTACATTTGGCCCCAAACAAAAAGGAAATATCAAGAGTGCACATGGTTTCCTCATTCAGCACTTGAAAACTCCTGTGTTCTTAGCGACAAAGAGTCCTGTGGCACTTTATAGACTAACAGACGTATTGGAGCATACGTGGGTGAATACCCACTTCATCAGATGTCTGTGTTCTTAGACATTGTCACCATGTGGAGCCCTCATAGGAATTTCATACCATATGTGTCTGATAGGGGGAACAGCATGAACCTACAGTTCAAGGAAATGAGATAACTGTGAAAAGCAAATGTCTAGTTCACTCTTGGGGGGAAGCAGTCTGACTCTGAATCCCTGCTCACGTACACACATACACACTTTCAAACAGTGGAGTCCAGCTTTTGTGGGAAGGTTTTTATTTCAAACTTTTGATCTCCCAGTCCAGTTAGTTAGGTTGGGAGTTGGATAATTATTAAATATTAAAAATCTCAGTGTGGTATAATGAAAGAAGTTTTAAAAGCACTGGTGTGGAACCACAATAGAGAGGCAGTAGGCCAAGCCATGATTTTGAAATCTGACTAGCGATTGGGTGCCCCAATTTTTGGATTCCCAACTTGAGACATCTTTGAGGGTTCTGATTATCAGGCAATGCTGAGCACCTGCCCTCTGAAAACCTGGCCCCTTCAGAAAGGTCAGGTTTGGCACCCAAAAACTGAAGCACCCAAAACCACTACTCAGTTTTGAAAACTTTGGTCTACAATTCTGAAAGAGATAAAAGTGGGGAACAAAAAAGCAGCAACTGTAGATTAACTACTACTACTACAACTATTGCCACAGTTACTGATGGCCTTTTTATTGGTGGGAGAAAGGACAGGATATTGTTTTAATTTCATAGTTTCTGAGAGTTTAAGGCCAGAAAGAATAATTAAATCATCTAGTGTGACCTCCTGAATATTGCATGCTGTTCAGTTTCACCCAGATACCCCTATATTAAGCCCAAAGTCTTTAATTAGGCTTAAGCATTTCAGTCCTCCGGAGACTAAACTACTGTGTGCCACAGACAGAGAGCAAGAGATACCAAGAAAAGAACAGGAGTACTTGTGGCACCTTAGAGACTAACAAATTTGTACTGTAACAAAGTACTCCTGTTCTTTTTGCGGATACAGACTAATACGGCTGCTACTCTGAAACCAGAGATACCAAGGTGTCACCAGTGCCCAGAGCCCCTGCAATGGCAGGGAATTGATTAGGTGAGATAAGCTCAGATGTCCCAAGCTGAATCCACATTCCATGCTGCAGAGGTCAAAAAAGCCCCAAAGTTCCTGCAAATCTCACCTGGAGGACAATTCCTTCCCAGCCCCAAACATGATGACCAGTTTGACCCTGAGCATGTAAGGAGGACACACTAGCCAGATATGCTATTGCTCAAATAGAAATTATGGATTTGATGCAGAAATTATTGGGTGAGGTTCTCAGGCCTGTATTATGCAGGAGGTCAGACTACATGATCATAATGGGATATAAAATCTAGGAATCTGTGAAAACCACCACAGTAATGAAACACAATACAACATAAACCAACCAGTTACCCAAACATTGAACAAAGTGTGCAAGTCTTGTATCTTGTCCTGACGTCTGCCAGAGTTGGGCTCTGGTTGACTACAAATGTAATAAAAAGCTGAATTGGTGGCTGCAAATAATATTAATCATATTATGTTAAGAAACTGTGATCCCTTACCAAAATACTGATTTTATTTAAACAGTGGGGGTAGGGTTTGATTAGGGTATATTGTAATAGTTGTTTTCCAGCTCTAATTGATAGAATCCTTTTGGGATTTTGAGACAGTTAATTTTCAAAACTCATTTTGAAGAAAGGAGTTATAAAAGATTTACTCTTTGTTTCATGTCTTGTGTCTCAGATGGACACGAATTCCTACTGAACACTTACTTCGGGGCTCCCCTCCTCCTCCACAGCGAAGATATGGTCACACCATGGTTGCCTTTGATCGCCACCTCTATGTGTTTGGTGGTGCTGCAGATAACACATTGCCAAATGAACTACACTGCTATGATGTGGACTCTCAGACCTGGGAAGTTATCCAGCCTAATCCGGATAGTGAGGTAAAGAGTGCACTGTTTAATTACTCCTCTTTCTCCTTTCAATCTACCTTTTGCTTCCATGGTATAGAACAGAGAATCTTTATTTAAATTAATAACGTTAATATTGAATTATACTTTTATAGCTCCTTTTCCAACAATGTGTTATACCAGGGGTCGGCAACCTATGGCACACGTGCCAAAGACGGCACGCGAGTCGATTTTTAATGGCACGCTGTTGCCTGCCAAGTCCCGGTAGGCAGCATCGTGCCATTAAAAATCCTGCCCTGCCCAGCCAAGCCCAGCTCGCTCTTCTCTGCCCTCCACCCCCCCTCCCTCTCCTGCGGGGGCAGGGGGCAAGGGGCAAGGGGCAGAAACTAGGTCCTGCCGGCTTCTGCCAGCTCCCCTGCCTCTTCCGGCAGTGTGCTCAGTTCCTGTCCCCCTCCTCCGCCTCTCCCTCCCTGCTGGCCGATCAGTGATGGCCCATGCGAGGGAGGGGGTCCGGAAGGAGCAGAGTCAGCCTGCTCGCTGCTCCCGGCGGAGGCAGAGAAGAAGTGGAGGCAGGGCCTTGGGGAAGGGGGGGAGTGGAATAGGGGCATATCCCCTCCAGCCCCCTGCTCTCACCCCCCCTCATACCCCCTCTGCCCTGACACCCCCTCACACACACCCAGCCCTCTGCCCTGAGCCCCCATCACACACACCCAGCCCTGAGCCCTGTGCCCCGCACACCTCCAAGGCCCCTGCCCTGAGCCACCCCCACACACACCCAGCCCTCTGCCCTGAGCCCCCCCGCACACACACCCAGCCCTCTGCCCTGAGCCCTGCGCCCCGCACACCCCCCCAGGCCCCTGCCCTGAGCCCTGACCCCCCCAC